TCTACATGCCAACAAGCTGTTTGGGAGGCATGCAAGGAAAAAGCCTTTTCTCACTAACACTCACAAACGTAAACGTCTGGAGTTTGCTAAGCGGCACTGGGACTTCAACTGGGATCGTGTGCTTTGGTCAGATGAGACTAAGATTGAGCTTTTTGGCAACAAACACTCTAAGTGGGTCTGGCGTAAAACAAAAGATGAGTATGCCGAAAAGCACCTCATGCCCACTGTGAAGTATGGTGGAGGATCTGTGATGCTGTGGGCCTGTTTCTCTTCCAAAGGCCCTGGGAACCTTGTTAGGGTGCATGGCATTATGAACGCTTTGAACTACCAGGACATTTTAAATAAAAACCTGATGGCCTCTGCCAGAAAGCTGAAGATGGGTCGTCATTGGGTCTTTCAGCAGGATAATGATCCAAAACATGTGGCAAAATCTACACAAAAATGGTTCAGCAGTCACAAACTCAAGGTCCTCCCATGGCCATCTCAGTCCCCAGACCTCAACCCAATCGAAAACCTGTGGGGCGAGCTAAAGAGGAGAGTGCATAAGACAGGACCCAGGACACTGGATGATCTAGAAAGATTGTGCAAAGAATAATGGTCAAAGATCCCTCTCTCTGTGTTCTCCAATCTTGTGAAATGTTATAGGAGGAGATTAAGTGCTGTCTTGTTGGCAAAAGGGGGTTGTACAAAGTATTAACATCAGGGGTGCCAATAATTGTGGGACACATGATTTCAAGTTTTTTTTTCCTAAATGTGTGATTTTTTTTTTTTACACCAAAGTAATGTACTTAAATAAAATGTTGGATTTTTCTCTTTTTTTGCATTTGGGTTCTATGTTGTTTAAAAAAAAATGAGAATTTTTGGAAGTCCTCGACCACATCTTAAACAGGGGTGCCAATAATTGTGGAGGGCACTGTAGCTCCACATTGATCTGGAACTGGTACTCCCTGTATATAGCTCCACATTGATCTGGTACTGGTACTCCCTGTATATAGTTCCACATTGATCTGGTACTGGTACACTCTTCATATAGCTCCACATTGATCTGGTACTGGTACTCCCTGTATATAGCTCCACATTGATCTGGTACTGGTACTCCCTGTATATAGCTCCACATTGATCTGGTACTGGTACTCCCTGTAAATAGCTCCACATTGATCTGGTACTGGTACTCCCTGTAAATAGCTCCACATTGATCTGGTACTGGTACTCCCTGTATATAGTTCCACATTGATCTGGTACTGGTACACTCTTCATATAGCTCCACATTGATCTGGTACTGGTACTCCCTGTATATAGCTCCACATTGATCTGGTACTGGTACTCCCTGTATATAGCTCCATTCTTGTTTATTTTATTATTCTTGTGTTACTATTATTATTATTTTTTTTACTCTGTTTCGTTGAGAAGGGCTCGTAAGCAAGCATTTCACGGTAAAGTTGATCCCTGTTGTATTCAGCGAATGTGATGAATAATATTGGATTTTACTTGAAATTAATAGGAGTGTCTCACACTCTGCAAAAATATTTAGTATTTTGGGTATTTAGCAGCTTCTCTTCCTGGGGTCTAAACAGGAATAAAACAATTACATCACAACAAAACAACAGCCTACATCATAAATAAAACAATACATCATACAATACATTATTACATTATTACTCTAATAGTACAAATTTACAATATAAAATGTACAATACTACAATAGTACAATCTGTGTGTGTGTGTGTTAGAGTGTGTGTGTGTGTGTGTGTCCTCACAGCGCGTCAATACCTCTCACAAAGAGTTGTGATGCAGTCAATCTCTCCTCTACTTTGAGCCAGGAGAGATTGACATGCATGTTATTGATATTAGCCCTCTATGTACATTTAAGGGCCAGCCATACTGCTCTGTTCTGGTCCAACTGTAATTTGCCTATGTCCATCTTTGTGGACTTGTAGTCCAGGTGTGATAAAACTAGGGCCTGTAGGACTTGTTTTGTTGATGTGATGTCAAGAAAGCAGAGCAGCGCTTTATCATGGTCAGACCTCTCCCCATCTAGCTAACGTTGCATCAATATGTTTTGACCATTTCAGTTTCCAATTTATGGTTAAACCAAGCAGATTAGTCTCCTCAACTTGCTCAATAGCCACATTATTCATTACAAGATTTAGATGAGGTTTAGGGTTTTAGATTAGGTTTACTCTACCTGATTTATGTTAGAGGCATCCATTAAAGAACACCCGATCCACGATATGGCAGATAATGTAAAGCCATAACACATACATTTTGTTCAGCAGCAGACTGATTGATAATGTCAAAAGCTGCACTGGTCGAACAAAAACGCTCCCACAATCTTCTTATTATCAATTTCTTTCACCCAATCATCAGTCATTTCTGTCAGTGCCGTACAGGTTGAGTGCCCTTCCCTATAAGCATGCTGAAAGTCAGTTGTTAATTTGTTAAATGTGAAATAGCATTGTATCTGGTAGCATTTATCCCGAAAACTCCCCAGTCCTTAACAATTACAAGCATACCCATAACATGAAGCAGTGACCACTATGCTGGAAAATATGTAGAGTGGTACTCAGTAATGTGTTGTATTGGATTTTCCTCAAACATAACACTTTGTATTCAGAACAAAAAGTGAATTGCTTTGCCACATTTTTAGCAGTATTTCTTTAGTTCCTTATTGCAAACATGATGCATGTTTTGGAATATTTGTATAGGCTTCCTTCTTTTCCCTCTGTCAATTAGGTTAGTATTGTGGAGTAATTACAATGTTGTTAATCCATCCTCAGTTTTCTCCTATCACAGCCATTAAACTCTGTAACTGTTTTAAAGTCACCATTGGCCTCATGGTGAAATCCCTGAGTGGGTTTCTTCCTCTTCGGCAACTGAGTTAGGAAGGACGCCTGTATCTTTGTAGTGACCGGGTGTATTGATACACCATCCAAAGTGTAATTAATAACTTCACCATGCTCAAAGGGATATTCAATGTCTGCTTTTTTTTTTACCCATCTACCTTCTTTGCGAGGCATTGGAAAACCTCCCTGGTCTTTGTGGTTGAATCTGTGTTTGAAATGTACTGCTCGACTGTGGGACCTTACAGATAATTGTATGTGAGGGGTACAGAGATGAGATAGTCATTCAAAAATCATGTTAAACACTATAATTGCTCACAAAGTGAGTCCATGCAACTTATTATGTAACTTATTAAGCACATTTGTACTCCTGAACTCAGGTTTGTTGGCTGCCCACTAATTGTCCACATCTGATCTTAATGAGTGCTTGTTTCCTTTGAAATGGCTCTGTTTGAATAGACTAAAATGAACAGCTTCGTATGACTTTAAAAAAACATAGCATGCTAGCTCCATCCTGGTGACGCAGTGGGCTAATTCCATGGATAGAGAACAGAAGATGCCACAACAAAAAAATGTATGCTGAAGCAAATTAATTTCCATGTGTCCTATCTGTGCTTGGAGTTGAAAACAGTCAAACCAAACTGTCATTTTTTTTTTTGTCATTTAAGACTAAGCTAGCAATATTATTAAAAGCCTTATTTGAAACATGTTCACAGAATGTTATTTAATTACCTTCAAATAACCTATAATTTCTGTTATCAGAGCTTTAAAAAAAAAACTCCCAGGAAAACGTTCAGGGAACCATAGTAAAACGTTCTCAAAACGTTCCCAGAACAGGTGAAATGTTCACTTCCGGTCTCAGAATATTTAAAAAACGTAATGTTTAACCAGTCAGGAAATCGATGGCTTTGTTCCCAGAAACAATGGGAAACCAAAAACGTGCGTTTCCACAACTTCCAAGGATGTGTTAGCTGGGAGGCCTTCAAAAGGCAGAAATACAACCAATCAGAAAAACAGATTGTAATTTTGGTGTGCATAGAATGGGGTCATGAGTGCATTCAAATGTGTGTTCCGTGGCTAATTTTCTTCACAATACGACACAGTTAGGCTCATTCTGTTCAGGACAACCCAGGGTATAACGCATGTCATCATTGTAACTGTGGATCATAAACATTGATACTGTAAATTACATCAGTTTTCAAATATAGAAATGTGAAGTGCACATTTGAACTCACGGGTGTGTGGTTTGCTTGTATGACATCAAAGTGGTATTTATTATAATCCTTAATGAAACATTTTTCATAACACATGGACTCCTCTTGATTTACAGCATTTCCCTCACTCAGACAACAACAAATGTTCAAAAGTAGCCCAATTACAGGGAGGGATGGAGTTATCTTCTGGTCTCGTGCGGGGTTCACGTTTATAATGGCTGTCAGTCAAAACCACTACCAGCACTGACGTGGAGAACCTGAGCTCTTACGTTATATATAGCATGTTACTGTACAGCCACTGGGTTTCAATTTAGGCACTTATCAATAACAACATCTGCCATTTTCAACTCATACGGGATGACAGGGGCTGTGAGTGGAAAGGGCTACGGGTTGCTTTTTAATTGCCTACGGCAAGTGAACTGAGCAGTCGGGTAAATTAAGCCTGCTCTAAAGTTTTCCAAGGTGGTAAAAAAAAAACTGAAAACAACAAAACTAAGGAATTCCAGTAGGCGTAGCCTAACACTGATCTTTCAGATTCATCCCCATTGTTTAAGTGAAAGATGGACAATTTATGGAATTTATGGCAGCCGGGCATGCCGCTGTGAAGCGCAATTAGGCAGTGGATTTTTTTTTTTACTGCGATTCTGGATTAATGAAATGCTCAGCCTACCACTGGCTTGGTTCTGACTGGGGGAGGAGTCACAGCCTCCAATAAAATGCGGTTGAAATTCATTCGAGTTTAGTTTACACCTTACCCTTTCATTAGTCGTATCTTTTTGCGATATTTGGCGAACCACTCGACCACATTAAAAACTTGGGACTAAAGATTTCTGTTCTTTAGCTCTCGTTGGTTAAACATTTTTCCTAAGGCGATAGATCTATATATTTTTCCATTGAGCCGACAGTAGAATAATTCGTTTCCAAAATGACTTGGTCCGCAAGCAGTTCTGTCATTACTCTGTTCGTTCTGTTCCTTTGGCGGGTTGGAGACATCGCAGAAGCTTGCAAATGCCCCACTCCAAATCTTCAACTGGCTTTTTGCAACGCAGACGTCGGTAAGGCATTTTTGGCAAGATTTGACTAACTTCTCTTCACATGTTGAGTTACTACTGTATCAGTACGCAACATGCTAACATTTTATGAATTGTCTGTGGTCGTTGTAATAATAATAATTGGGACATTGTTATTAAGCCTATATTTACATTCGCACACAATTATTTACATAAGTAGGCAACAGTAAAATGGGCTACAGCCAGGGCTCTCCAACCCTGTTCCTGGAGAGCTATGCTCCTGAAGGTCTTCAATCCAACCCGTTGTAACTAACCTGATTCAGTTGATCAACAAGGTAATTGTTAGATTCAGGTGCGCTAGAATATGATTGGAATGTAAACCTACAGGACGGTAGCTCTCCAGGAACAGGGTTGAGAACCCTGCGTTATATTTTGATTTTGGCATAAACAGTATGCCTACAGATGCATTATTTGTCCAAAAGCTAAATGAGATAGCTACTGAGTGTACAAAACGTTTAAAGGCCACCTGCTCTTTCCATGACATAGCTTTCACCTGGCCAGTCTATGATCCCTACTGATGTCACCTATTAAATCCACTTCAATCAGTGTAGATTAAGCGGAGACAGGTTAAAGAAGGCTGTTAAGCCTTGAGACATGGATTGTGTATGGGCTAAATGTAAGACAATATTAACACAAGGTACTGTTGTAGTGTAGACTATTGAAATCAATTAATATTGGTAGGCTATATCACTTATCTTTGACAGGTAATCTGTTTCACTATATTAAGAGGGATGGCCTGCTTTATGTACAACATACCGGTAATAACAAGAGGGAACGGTGAAGGGTGGAATAGTCTCTCCTATTTCCTGTCACATTGATCCTCTATGGCATGTGTCAGACTCATTCAACGCAGGGCCGAGTGTCTGTGGCTTTTTGCTCCACCCTTGTACTTCTATGATATCATGGCGTTCAGCAAACAATCGTTTAAGTGCATGCCGCCACCTATTGTGCTGGAATGTACTATCAATCATGATCCGCCCAATTCTGTACTACCATGAAAATAAAATTCAAAACCAAATAAATCCCTTACTTCTCCCTCCCCCAAAACCCCATTAAACTTAATCTATATCATGCTGAAACACTCCACCCTTAGGATTGTTCAGCATGTCAACAACCATTTCAACAGTAACATCTGTTACCCCTAATATCTCTTTTGCCATCTCCACATTAACTTTCAACCTGACATTTCTGCTTTCCACAACCTGCGTCGTATTGATAACCTTATCAATAAAAGCTATGAAGTCAACTTTATTCATTATCAAAGTGTCCTTTGACACCGCACATTCATGAGCACAAGATGTTTTGCCTATGCGCATGTGTGTATTCCGGTGCAGTTTTTCCCAAAGATTGCTGACTAGCTTCCTCCTGAACCGACAGGAGCCTCAGAGCAGGCCAGGCATATTCCTCTCTGATTACAGCGGAGGCGCTCATATGCCTCTCCTATGCGTAACAACGTTAAACCTTTAGTGTCTGACTGACCAGTATACCGGAATGGTTTATTTCAATAATGTTAGTTAAACCATGTCTCACTCTTTCCCTCTTCTAGTGATCAGGGCCAAGGTGATTGGAGTGCAACTTGTGTCTGGTAACATCCACAAGTATGACATCAAACAGATCAAGGTATGATCAGCCTTTTTATTAAGTGGTTGTTCCTTCCTGCACTGAAACATTGAAGCCCCCTGAACCCCAATCTGACAGCTGGTCCCAATTCGCTCCCTTCCCCTTAGCTCCAACCCTTCAATGTTTGCAGATCTGGGTAGGTATAAGCAGTGTAGTTGTGGCGCGTCCACCCTACTGGTCCAAGACTATGGCGACGTCCTCTATATGAACTCAGCTGCCACTTCAATAAAGCCATTAGATGCAGTTTATCAAGGCTTTATTACGGGCGACTGGTTTAGTACTCATCACTACATTCTCTACCAGATAGTTGGTTGGCGCTATTTGATGTCACAGGTTGATCAATTGCTATATTTTCTTTTATGAAGCCCTATTACAAAAACTCTCACTGTACCTTATATCATTACTAACCTTTAGACATATGAGTTACCACACCTGGTCTCAGGGATGGCTAACTCTGGAAATTCCTTTGGTCTCTGAGTTAGGTAAAGCAGCTTTTTTTTTTTGCACCGAATATGTAGAACAATCTTCAACATTTTCTAAACGTTGGATGTTTTGGTGCGTCTAGGGCAATTCAGGAAACTGATTGAGGACCTTAATACTGATTTGTTTTTTTAAATGACTTTATGCTTGCGTTTTGTGTGTTCCTGTAATTCAGGGCTCATCTGTAAAATAGACCTTGATTAAATAAAGTATTGCTTCCACCTTACAGATCCGGAAACATCAAAGGGCTTTAGACTGAGGGGATGGTGTATAAGAACGGAATTAGTAAAGACTGACAGTGCCTGAGAGCTGCAGTCAGTGAGGTTCAAAACTGTATATGTAGGTGTTTGAAAGAGCTTTCTTTTTCTCCTTGTGATTTGCTAGATGTTCAAAGGTCCTGACCGGGTTATCCACGCCGTCTTCACTGCATCCTCCCCAGCCGCATGCGGCGTGACTCTGCAAATCAACAAGGAGTATCTCTTCATAGGTGCGGTTCTCACTACGTTACCCAAGTTCCATTGCCAGCAGTGGTTAACCCTATCAGTCCTGAGACCCCAGCAAAAATGTGCTTTTCATTTATCTGCATGTCCAGCCCTTAAATGTAGCCTCACAGTAAAGTGCTTTACCATTTTATTTTCAGGACAGCCAGGGCTACAAGTAAAACACAAAACAATTTGACATAAACAGTTGCATTCATGAGTTTTATTGACAAATGTCAACGACAAAAAAATCCACCAAGTCAGAAACTTGAAAATGAATTTATGAATGCTCTAAGTACAGAAATTGTTTCCTCAGTGGGAAATTAATATCCAGCTAGTCAGTGACAACTGTTTGGTGTTTGTGACAGCAACTATGTAAGCGTATTACAGTATTAAAGATAGATCATTGGAAATCCGAGGACATATGTAGAAGAACCCCTTACCTTCTAAGGACTCTTGTGAGCTTCGTGGAGCAAAACGTGTTCATGAGTCTCAGCTTTTCATAAATTGCTTTTAATAGTACTTCAAACCATTTGGACTCTACAGACGTTTTTGTAAAAGACCCTGCCCTTGGCCCCTTTTGGGATCTGCCCTTGTCTCACAAACCCTCTCCTACCTCAGCCGCCGTTAATCACAAACTAATGGTTGGTACCAACATTTGCAGAAGAAATGGACTAATCCAAAAACTGGGCTTACTCAAGAAAGCCCACCTTGAATCCCATTTTGAAGTATGCAAAAAAAAGCTCAACACTTGGGATTCTGTAGCTATGTGGCAAAAAGTTGTGGTCTGACAAAACTAAGATATAACTTCTTGGGCTAAATGCAAAGTGTTACCCAACACTGCAAATCACTCAAAGAACACTATCCCTACTGTGAAGCATGGTGGTGGCAGTATCATGTTATGAGTCTCATCATGTTATGTTTCTCATCATTGGGGATAGAAGGGAAAATGAATGGCGCAATGTACAGTGTACAAAAATAAAAGCAACATGCAACAATTTCAAAGATTTTAATGAGTTATAGTTCATATGGAAATCAGTCAATTGAAATTAATTAATTAGGCCCTAAACTATGGATTTAACATGATTGGGAATACAGATATGCATCTGTCGGTCACAGATCCCTTTAAAAAAAGTTAGGGGCGTTGATCAGAGAACCAGTCAGTATCTGGTGTGACCATTTGCTTCATGCAGCACGACATTTCCTTTGCGTAGAGTTGATCAGGCTGTTGATTGTGGCCCGTGGAATGTTGTCCCACTCTTCAATGGCTGTGTGCAGTTGCTCTATTGGCGGGAACTGGAACACTCTGTCGATCCAGAGCATTCCAAACATGCTCAATGGGTGACATGTCTGGTGAGTATGGAGGCCATTGAAGAACTGACATTTTCAGCTTCCAGGAATTGTGTACAGATCCTTGCGACATGGGGCCGTGCATTATCATGCTTAAACATGAGGTGGTGGCAGATGACTGGCACGACAATGGGCTTCAGGATCTCGTCATGGTATCTCTGTGCATTCAAACTGCCATCGCTAAAATGTAGTTATGTTTGTTCACAATGTTGACCTCAGCAAACCGCTTGCCCACACGACGCCATCCACGTGATCTGCCATCTGCCCGGCACAGTTGAAACCGGGAATAATCCGTGAAGAGCACACTTCTCCAACTTGCCAGTTGCCATCGAAGGTGAGCATTAGCCCACTTTAGACACCCAACTGCAGTCACGTCAACCCTGGTGAGGACAATGCGCACGCAGATTAACTTTTCTGAGACTGTTTATGACAGTTTGTGCAGAAATTATTCTGTTGTGCAATCCCACAGATTCATCAGCTGTACGGGTGGCTGGTTTCAATTCTCTAAAATGACGTTGGTGGCGGCTTATGGTAGAGAAATGAACATTAAATTATCTGGCAAAAGCTCTAGTGGACATTCCTGCAGTCATGCCAATTGCATGCTCCCTCAACTTGAGACATCTGTGGCATTGTTGACAAAACAGCACATTTTACTGGCCTTTTGTCCCCAGCGCCTGTGTTCAATCAGCTTCTTGATATGCCACACCTGTCAGGTGGATGGAATATCATATCTTTGCAAAGGAGAAGTGCTCACTAACAGGGATGTAAACAAATTTGTGCACAATTTGAGAAGCATTTTGTGCAAATGGAACATTTCTGGGGTCTTTTTTTTAAATTTCAGCACATGAAACATGGGACCAAGACTTTACATGTTGCGTTTATTTTTGTTCAGTGTAAATCCATGAAACTGAGGCAATGACACAACAAAATGTGGAAAGTTCAAGGAGCTTAGACTTTCAATAGGCACTGTAAAATGTTTACAACTAATCCATTACTTACTTATTATTAGTATGTACACTTATGATGAGATATCTGTGTTCTTGGCTGCATCAGTATGTCTTTACGCTCCAGGGTGAAGTTTTCCTCCAGGAACGTATGCCAATCCTAACCTTAACCATTAGTGGAACAAATGCTGAACTGAGCCAAGATCGGCGTCTAGGGTCGACTTTACCCTTCACCTTGTTTTCCCCACAGCACTTTGACTCACTATCTCCTCTGTCTGTAGGAATGCTGGAGACTGGAAGGATGTACATAACACTGTGTGGCTATAATCCACGCTGGGAGGACTTGAGTGCCACGCAAAAGAAGAGCTTGAATCACCGCTACCAAAGCGGCTGCGTTTGAACGGTGTGTGATGGGGAATTATAGTAATATTACAGTACACCAGTTTTGTTCAATATTTACGCTGCACTTTTTTAAAAGGACGTATACATGAGCTAGAGTATGGGGTAATGATCAGTCAGTTATCTTGGTCTTTCTCTCTCCCTACTCCGATACACAGATCATCCCCTGCTCCTCCCTCCCCTGTCCGACCAGTTCCCTAGATGAGTGCCTGTGGACAGATTGGGGGACTGACAATGGCCAAAACCTTGTCTGTATCAAGAGTAGAGATGGGTCTTGTGCCTGGAAGTAGTTCCTGGATATTGAAGACTTCCTAACTCTACAGACCATCCGCTCAGTGACTAAAGATGCCTGCAATTAATAAAATAAAAAACGCGAAGCTGCAAATAATTATGATTAAATGAAATAAGTGCTTACTGGTCACTTCTACAAGTGCAATAAAAATAAACTACCAAACCAAATATAGCGCTCCTTGTATTTAATTTGTTGCTAGTTAAGTGAACAGAAGGTGTTATCTCAGTGTTGGCCCATGTGTTTGTATTTCAGCAACAGTATTCCTGAAATGCCATCCTAAAGCCTGGGGCGTCTTCAGCATGGCACAATGTAGAAAGTTGAAATGGCATGTTATATTTACATTTTAGTCATTTAGCAGACGCTCTTATCCAGAGCGACTTACAGTTAGTGTGTGCATACATGTTTTTTTTTTCATACATTCCGTGGGAATCTAACCCACAACCCTGGCGTTGCAAACGCCATGCTCTACCAACTGAGCTACATCCCTGCTGGCCATTCCCTCCCCTAACCTGGACGACGCTGGGCCAATTGTGCGCCGCCCCATGGCTTCTCTGACGTGAAAGGAATAGCTTTTCTATCTGCAAAATTCAATGTTTGTCTACTGTGTGGTCCTGAAGTAGTTTGGGTCTAAACCAGGGCTTTAGTGTCATTGACCAAATTAAACAACTCATTCTTTAAGTCTCATGGGTGGTATGAATATTCTTATGTACAATGTAGTGTTCGCGTGCTAATCTGAATTAGGAAATTGACATTTCCGATTTACTAACTGGTTGTAGTTATACAAGGGCCACTTTCAACCAGTTACAAGTCAGACATTTCTGAATTTCCTAGTTCCGACTAGCACAGGAGTGTAAGTGCCACACTGTCCGACCACTGTCGTATTCACTATAACGGCTTCATCGTTTTGTATTATATTTACTGTCTTATCTTACTATGGACAAAACCCCTTTTCTCTGCAACGGAGATTGTAAACCTGGTTGCTTTGGTTCACAGTGCAGGTTAGTGTTTTTCATCATGAATTTTGTTCTGGGTCATAAAATTTGATTTTAACCCTGACCTTAACCACACTGCTAACCCTAATGCCTAACCTTAAATGAAGACCAAAGCCATTTTTATTTTCATAGGTTTTTACAGTATAGCCTATTTTGACTTTGCAGCTGGCCTATCTAAGGGGAAATCGCTCAGTTTTGCCTCCAGGAGAAGACTCACACATTGCTATGTTTACAGTGGGTATCTCAACTATTCACCCACCCTTGTATTTTTTCACATTTTGTGTTAAGTGGGATTGAAATATATTTTTTAAATTAATACATTAAGTAACAAATACAGTGAGGGAAAAAAGTATTTGATCCCCTGCTGATTTTGTACGTTTGCCCACTGGCAAAGAAATGATCAGTCTATAATTTGAATGGTAGGTTTATTTGAACAGTGAGAGACAGAATAACAACAAAAAAATCCAGAAAAATGCATGTCAAAAATTGTATAAATTGATTTGCATTTTAATGAGGGAAATAAGTATTTGACCCCCTCTCAATCAGAAAGATTTCTGGCTCCCAGGTGTCTTTTATACAGGTAACAAACTGAGATTAGGAGCACACTCTTAAAGGGAGTGCTCCTAATCTGTTTGTTACCTGTATAAAAGACACCTGTCCACAGAAGCAATCAATCAGATTCCAAACTCTCCACCATAGCCAAGACCAAAGAGCTCTCCAAGGATGTCAGAGACAAGATTGTAGACCTACACAAGGCTGGAATGGGCTACAAGACCATCGCCAAGCAGCTTGGTGAGAAGGTGACAGCAGTTGGTGCGATTATTCGCAAATGGAAGAAACACAAACTAACTGTCAATCTCCCTCGGCCTGGGGCTCCATGCAAGATCTCACCTCGTGGAGTTGCAATGATCATGAGAACGGTGAGGAATCAGCCCAGAACTACACGGGAGGATCTTGTCAATGATCTCAAGGCAGCTGGGACCATAGTCACCAAGAAAACAATTGGTAACACACTACGCCGTGAAGGACTGAAATCCTGCAGCGACCGCAAGGTCCCCCTGCTCAAGAAAGCACATTACAGTGGTGTGAAAAAGTGTTTGCCCCCTTCCTGATTTCTTATTTGTTTGCATGTTTGTCACACTTAAATGTTTCAGATCATCAAACAAATGTAAGTATTAGTCAAAGATAACACAAGTAAACACAAAATGCAGTTTTGAAATGAAGGTTGTTATTATTAAGGGAAAACAAAATCCAAACCCACATGGCCCTGTGTGAAAAAGTGATTGCCCCCTACAACCTAATAACTGGTTGGGCCACCCTTAGCAGCAACAACTGCAATCAAGCGTTTGCGATAACTTGCAATGAGTCTTTTACAGCGCTGTGGAGGAATTTTGGCCAACTCATCTTTGCAGAATTGTTGTAATTCAGCCACATTGGAGGGTTTTTGAGCATGAACTGCCTTTTTAAGGTCATGCCACAGCATCTCAATTGTATTCAGGTCAGGACTTTGACTAGGCCACTCTAAAGTCTTCATTTAGTTTTTCTTCAGCCATTCAGAGGTGGACTTGCTGGTGTGTTTTGGATCATTGTCCTGCTGCAGAACCCAAGTTCGCTTCAGCTTGAGGTCATGAACAGATGGCCGGACATTCACCTTCAGGATTTTTTTGTAGACAGCAGAATTCATGGTTCCATTTATCACAGCAAGTCTTCCAGGTCCTGAAGCAGCAAAACAGGCCCAGACCATCACACTACCACCACCATATTTTACTGTTGGTATGATGTTATTTTTCTGAAATGCGGTGTTACTTTTACGCCAGATGTAATGGGGGACACACCTTCCAAAAAGTTCAACTTTTGTCTCGTCAGTCCACAGAGTATTTTCCCAAAGGTGTGGGATCATCAAGATGTTTTCTGGCAAAAATGAGACGAGCCTTAATGTTATTTTTGCTCAGCAGTGGTTTTCGCCTTGGAACTCTGCCATGCAGGCCATTTTTGCCCAGTCTCTTTCTTATGGTGGAGTCATGAACACTGACCTTAACTGAGGCAAGTGAGGCCTGCAGCTCTTTGGATGTTGTTGTGGGGTCTTTTGTGACCTCTTGGATGAGTCGTCGCTGCGCTCTTGGGGTAATTTTGGTCGGCTGGCCACTCCTGGGAAGGTTCACCACTGTTCCATGTTTTCGCCATTTGTGGATAATGGCTCTCACTGTGGTTCGCTGGAGTCCCAAAGCTTTAGAAATGGCTTTATAACCTTTTCCAGACTGATGGATCTCAATTACTTTCTTTCTCATTTGTTCCTGAATTTCTTTGGATCTCTGCATGATGTCTAGCTTGTGAGGATCTTTTGGTCTACTTCACTTTGTCAGGCAGGTCCTATTTAAGTGATTCCTTGATTGAGAACAGGTGTGGCAGTAATCAGGCCTGGGTGTGGCTAGCGGAATTGAACTCAGGTGTGATAAACCACAGTTGAGTTGTGTTATAACAGGGGGGGCAAACACTTTTTCACACAGGGCCATGTAGGTTTGGATTTTGTTTTCCCTTAATAATAACAACCTTCATTTCAAAACTGCATTTTGTGTTTACTTGTGTTATCTTTGACTAATATTTAAATTTGTTTGATGATCTGAAACATTTAAGTGTGACAAACATGCAAACAAATAAGAAATCAGGAAGGGGGCAAACACTTTTTCACACCACTGTACATGCCCGTCTGAAGTTTGCCAATGAACATCTGAATGATTCAGAGGAGAACTGGGTGAAAGTGTTGTGGTCAGATGAAACCAAAATGGAGCTCTTTTGCATCAACTCAACTCGCCGTGTTTAGAGGAGGAGGAATGCTGCCTATGACCCCAAGAACACCATCCCCACCGTCAAACATGGAGGTGGAAACATTATGCTTTGGGGGTGTTTTTCTGCTAAGGGGACAGGACAACTTCACTGCATCAAAGGGACGATGGACGGGGCCAAATCTTGGGTGAGAACCTCCTTCCCTCAGCCAGGGCATTGAAAATGGGTCGTGGATGGTTATTCCAGCATGACAATGACCCAAATCACACGGCCAAGGCAACAAAGGAGTGGCTCAAGAAGAAGCACATTAAGGTCCTGGAGTGGCCTAGCCAGTCTCCAGACCTTAATCCCATAGAAAATCTGTGGAGGGAGCTGAAGGTTTGAGTTGCCAAACATCAGCCTCAAAACCTTAATGACTTGGAGAAGATCTGCAAAGAGGAGTGGGACAAAATCCCTCCTGAGATGTGTGCAAACCTGGTGGCCAACTAAAAGAAACGACTGACCTCTGTGATTGCCAACAAGGGTTTTGCCACCAAGTACTAAGTCATGTTTTGCAGAGGGGTCAAATACTTATTTCCCTCATTAAAATAAAAAAATTTACATGCGTTTTTCTGGATGTTTTTTGTTGTTATTCTGTCTCTCACTGTTCAAATAAACCTACCATTAAAATTATAGATTGATCATTTCTTTGTCAGTACGCAAACGTACAAAATCAGCAGGGGATCAAATACTTTTTTCCCTCACTGTATAGTTGTTGCATAAGTATTAACCCCCTTTAGGCGAGCCTAAATTAGTTGAGGAATACAATTTGGCTTAACAAATCACAAGTTACCTGGACTGAAATAATAGGGGTTGACATTATGTTTGAATGACTAACCCTTCCTCTGTCCCCCATACAACATCTGTAAGGTCCCTTTCCAAAGCCTCATAAAGAAGGGCAGTGATTGGTAGATGGGTACCAAATAACATCCGACGTTGATTCTAAGCATGGTCAAGTTACTTATGCTGTGGATTATATACAACCACCCAGACATTATGCGTCCAACATTATGCATACACACCGTGGTATTGGGCAGCTGCTGACGTTTTGAGAACTCATCTGGTTTAGAAATAAAATTCTGGTGAGCTTATTGCAGAGCACTTTGTAGAAATGTTGCCCAGGTTTTTTTTGGGGGGGGATTGTATTGCGTGGTATGCTGTGTCGGATATGCCGTGTTGG